ATCTCTCGTCAGTACACCGTCACTCTCACCGATATATCATCATCTCTCGTCAGTACACCGTCACTCTCACCGATACACCCTCGTCAATCTTGTCAATACACCGCCCACATCGTTTGTAACACCATTACTACACGCTACGCACATCAATCTTGTTAATACACTGTCAACCTCGTCAATATACCATGGATCTCCTCATCTCATACAGCCCACTGTGTGGGAGAAAGACCTGTATGCTGTCTGTCTCAGCTGTCTTAGTGAAGACATGTGGGAAATGCTGTATGAGGCCTACCTGAGTGAGGGACTGCTGCGGCTGTTCTTCAGACCCAGGTTCCTCAGTCCAGCCTGATTTTTCAAAGCCTCATCCCACAGGCCCATCCCAGTCTTGCCCTCCATCGCGCTGGCCCAGAGCGCAGCGCCATCCCCCCACTGACTCGCCAGGGAAGACACGCTCGGGCTGCCCATGGACAGACCTCCATGCTGAGGGAAGAGAGCAGAGAAGACAATGTCAAGATCAGGTCAAGATCATACACTTACAGTGACCCCTGATCCTACATATGTGCCTGTGCTATAGTGACCCCTGACCATACACACAAGCCCCCACACTGTAATGACCCCTGACCTGTACACAAGCCCCTGCAGTGACCCCTGACCCTAGACACACCCATTGTAGTGATGCTACATATGAACCCCACCTGCAGTGACCCCTCCCCTGCCATGACCCCTGACCTTAGACACAAGCCCAACCCTGCAGTGACACCTGACCCTAGAAGTGAGCCCCCCCCACTATAGTGACCCCCTGACCCTGCACATGAGCTACTCCCCTGCCATGACCCATGACCTTGCACATGGACCCTTGACCCTGTAGTGACCCCTGACCCCTGCAGTCTGCGCCCCAGTCGCTCACCGCTCTCTGCTGCTGCTGGGCCCGCTGCTGCTGCTGCTTGTGCAGCTGCCTCTCCGCCTCCTGCTGCAGCTCCAGCAGGCTCTTGCCCTGCTTGGGCAGGCTGGTCCAGGAGGACGGGTTCTGCTGCGAGGCAACGGCCACCTGCTGCTGGGTCTGCTGGATTAGCTTCATGATCAGCTCGTGCTGCCGGCACTGTGCAAAGGAGGGGTTTCAGAGTGGAGTCAACGTGGGTTGCACCTCAGAAGTGGGGCCCCGTCCATCCCGCCTGCCACCCATGACCCTGACCCCCCAATCCCAGAAATCCATAGGGCTGCTTCTCCTGCCTGCTCATGCCCAGGCTGTCTGTCTGCACCTCTTTCTTGGAGCAGTGTGGTCCTGTCAGCTCGCCCCAGTTCTTATTTCTGTTACTAAGTTAATGTTCAGTCTAAAACCAGTGACTGCTTTCTATTCTCTCTTAGGGAAAACATCTGACCTTGACAGAGCTGAGAGCACATTTACTAATCAGCCCCAAGCAGAAACTAAATCAACCCACCTGTGATGAAGAACTCAGCTGGAGAAAAACCCAAAGGGACAATGTTGCTCCAGAACCACTGACCTAGAGCAGGAGTTCTGACCCAGTCTCAAAGCCCCCTTGCCCACTGGTTGCTTTTACAGCACACTTGAAATCTGCATTTGCACCGATAGATAAATGATTTTCCGCAGTCAGGTGGCAAATACCTGTTACCCTCTTACACCAAGCCGATATGCCAAGCCTGGGAAGGGGTCTCCTTCCTCGGCTTGGCATATCCACCTGCCCATCTCTTCTTCTTATCCCTACCTGTTCCCTCCGTTTCTGCTCATCCTGTCTTCTCTTCTCCTCCCTCCGTTTCCTCTCCTCCTCTTCACGCTTAGCCCTGAGTTCAGCGTCTCGCCTCTCCTGCTGGAGCTGGAGGGCAACACAGACGAGACATAGGGTCAGGCACCCAGTGGGGAAACCAGAGGCACAGAGGCAGAGGGGAAGGGCCATCCATCGGCCTTACAACCCCATGTAGAAATGTTATCTTCTCACTCTCCCATACCAGTGTCCTGACGACCTACTGCCCCCCAGAAATACAGGATGCTCATTGCTGGTGAGCCCTGGTGACACCATTTTATTCCCTCAGAGGCCAACTGAAATTCTGCAGCTTGAGAGGACAACCAGGTGATGAGCCCAACCAGGTGATGAGCCCAAGGGCCTCATAAACAAAGTGGAACGGCCCCTTCCCGGATCCCCTGTGCTTTCAGGGCACAGTTTCATGCAGAAACCCATTCAAAGATGGCCAACACAAAGTCAAGGAGAGATGCACAGAGCTCCACGAAAAAAAAAACAAAGAAAGACATGACGGGCTAGCCGGGCAGATAGGAATGGGCTGTAGAAGTCGGGCAGCCCAGCTCATTCTCGGAGAGGAGGAGGAAGCCAGCAGGCAGCCCAGGGGGCGAACGTCCATCACAGGTCGAGGGGGCAGTGAGTGGACACTCCCTACCATCGACAACCCACTACTGTTTCAACAGGGGTTACGGAATGAGCGAGAGGAGGGGAGAGCTGCTTGTGGAACACATTCATTCATTTCTCACCACACCCCGGTCGCTCCCATGGAACTCGTTCAAGCTGGACAAGGGAAACAAACCGAAAGATTCTCACCTTCTGTCTCTCCAGCTGTAGCTGTTCGAGAGTTGGACCCTGAGTTGAAGAATTCATTGTTAAGTCCCATAAACTGGCTTCACCTCCTGGGGAGAGACCACGCGGGTGGGGAAAAGGGGAGATGGAGGGACACAGCATTAGTATGCATGAGCATGTCGGGAGCGAGTCAGGGGTCACTATCCTGGGTGTCCAGTCCTTGCGTGAGGCCCAGAGTCCAGTATGTCAGTTTGTGAATAGTCTGTCGAGTCTCTGGTGAGTGTCCAGGGAGTGTGACAGGTGGGCGCTGCAGGCACAGACCTACCTGACGGCTGTGAAGCTGAGGTATGCATGTCCCACATGGACCCTGTATCTGGCACTGACATCGACCTGCTCATCGAAGGAATCATACCCTGCTCTCCGCACCTGGGACACACAGACAGAGGAGGAGGGGAAGAGTTGCTGAGGAGTTCAGGCAGGCAGCAGGACGGAGAGTGAGGGAGAGGGTCAGTGTGCCGTTACCTGTTGATGAGCTGGAACAGCTGCTGCTGCTGGAGCTGCTGGAAGAGAGCTGCTGCCGCTGCCAGCTCCTGCTGTTTCTTCAGCCTCTCCTGGTCCATATTCCCCTGAAATACAGTCAGGGAGTCAACATCTCCTGGTCCATAAACCCTCCTGTAATACTCACACACACACACCTCTCCTGATCCATAAACCCTCCTGTAACACTCACACACACAC